TTCTTGTCCCTAACATGCATACATAAACCTATAAGGCCTTATCATAACACATGTGTCGGTTTTGGCTTCGTTTCGGGAGTTTACCGCTCAAGAACACCTCGAGGTGTAAACTCCTAGATTTCATGTTTTAGCCTTCTAAAACATGTTATAGACACATATAAAGCTTTCTAACAATGCTATAAAGAGTTACTCACGTTTTGGTATAAAAACCTGAAGATCCGTCAGAGAGAAAATGGCTTTTCTCTAGTCGGAAATGTGAATAATGAATGATTTTGGTTTAGAAATCTATTTATAGTCCTGAGATATTTTGGCAGAAAATATTTTTATTCCTGAAATGATCCCTAATAAATTAGAGTGTTGGAATAACAGTGTTGCACCAAACCCTAGTGCACCCACTCTCCTGATATTTCCTGAAGTGTAAACCCTGAATTTCTCAAACTTACGCGAAAAGTCTGAAAATTAACTGTGACTGCTACAACTTCTATTGAAGTGATATAGTTTGTACAGAATGGAAATTTCGGGTTGTCACATTTGTGTTGCACACCGCGACTACATCCAACCGTGATCTATTCGCCCATCTAGTGGTCAAGAATGTGGTTTATGGCTCTAAAGCGGGGAACATTTTGAAGATGCATAGGGTCCATGAAGAACTAATTCTAACCATGTTTACCGATGTTGACCAAGTTCTATGGTATCTTTCTTTTTCCTTTTTAGTTTAGCTCATCCCGAGGTTATTTTAGTCTTGTTCTAACTTGAGGACAAGTTAGGTTTAAGCTTGGGGTGATTTGATAGCTTATTTTATTTCCTTATTTTTATTAGTTTATTTTAGTATTTTAGCTCTTTTTATCATTATTGCATTGTATTTTATTTATTTTCTTTATTATGGATCATATCGGGGACTTTTTATTTTGCATGAGGAATTTTGCAGGATTTGGAGCTCATTGTGGTTGCAGTTTGATTGGAGTTGGGCTTAGTGGGCTTTCTGATGCATTATTGGGCTTGGCAAATCCACCAAAGAAGATTTGGGCTTAAAAAGCTAAAGGCTTGGATGAAGTGGGCTTGTGAAGACGGATCTTGGACTTTTATTTTGGGCTTGGGGCATCCACATTTGAAGCTAAAAGATGATTGGTTAATTTGAATCAAGTGGATATAGAGGGGACCAAGGGAATCTTTGGTAGTGGGATGGTTAGTGGAGGAAAAATGAGCCAATTGCATTCCAATAGCACTTGCGTGGGTGGAATTTTCGTCGTGTGGGTACCCGCGCAACTGCCCAGTTTTGGGCATTTTGGTCATTTGGCACACCATTACTTAGGGGGATCAGATCTATCAGCCATAACTTCGATTTTTCACCATTGGAGACCTAGAGGAGGCGATTTTTGAAGCTCAAGACTCATTTCTTTTCATCTTTCCAAGATATTGGTAGTTTCTTTATGAAATTAGACTTTTGTGATTGTTGTTTTATTGCCATGAGTGGCTAAAACCTCTGAATGTTTGTGGGTGTTTGAAGGATTTATGCTTATTTATTATTTATCTTGTGTCTATGATTCTAGTTCATATTTTCTATGCTTGTTTAGTGCTTTGATCATCAGCTTGGTACAAAATAAGCAATTGTTGGTTTATTTCTTTGGTTCAGCATTGAATCGTTAAATGTACTTAGAACAAGAGCTTTATGATGATAGAAATCATCTCTAGTTTATAAATCATAACTCGTTTATGGATGTGTAAGCATTAACATCCTCTAGGAATTGGGGATTTCTTCATTCTTACGGCTAATCAACTTTTTGGGTTCAATTGCTTCAATTGGATCTTTGATTTTGATTAAGAATGTGTGTTGTAGGCTTCCCAACCTCCATACTGATGGGTCTTATACAAACAATCTTATGTGTGCATGCAACCCTAGTATTGGATCTATGTTTTCACTATTAGTTATACAACTTTATGAACACAAAAAGAAACCTGGCATGCTACTATAATTTTCGAAATTCATATATATAGCTAGAATACATACCTTTTGTTGTTATATAGCAATAACAACTAGTTCCTTGAATTTCCTTAGCTCTTGAAAGCAAGTACCACAAGTGTAGTACCTCTAATGGAGTCACAAACACCATATGCAACTTGGATGAAGAGGAGAAGAAAAAGAGGCACCAAAAACGGCTGGAAACCCTAATGGAAGTGTTGTTCCCGTTTTTGGGGCTTAAGGGTCCCTTTTATACATGTAGGCTATTAGGGTTTACAACTAGGAAACCCTAATCTGACTGCTTAGGCCCTAAGCAGCCCATGGACTCCTTAAACATATCCCTTGGACGATTTCTAATGGGCTTCCCATAGAATTCGTTCAACCTATATATTATTAGGTGATCCATAGCCCAATTATAATTATCTTATAATTACAACTTCAGTCCCTTAAGTTTAATTAATCTCTTTTAACCACAAAATTAATTCTTAATTAATTCTTGACCAATATTAATTAAACAATATGATTTCTCCTTTAATATATTATTCTCATAATATATTAATAAATCATATTTAAACCTTTCTCTCCTTAAATCATCCTACATATTGCTATGGTGAAGGCAACCCAAAAGGACCATGCTCATAATCGGGTCAAGTACATACCAAAACAGTTATGAACTTAGACACTAATCCAACACATACTACCTATGAGAAATCTTGGCATATCATGCTTCATGATTGCTATAACCAATTTGGGATGAATGATAAGCTTCAAGTTAAATCCTAATGATAAACACACAAATGTTCATTGTGTTGAATTGCCTTGGTTTACCAATTCTCTCCAATATTTGAGCATATCACTTTCTTGCTTATTTGCAAGTTTTTAGTTATTCAAGTATTTTAGTTTTCAAGAAATCATATCACCCCCCCCCCCTTAGTTTAATTAGTAAAGCTAGTTCTAGTCAAAGAACATGTTTTGGTTAGATAATTTGACAATCGATAGGTATTAGAGCATGTTAATGTCTTTTAGTACCAACTTAGAATAACAATTATGATTCACATCAAGTCATAATCAATTTGGACAACAAAATTGAGAACTAGAACTAGAACCATTCAATCAAACGGTTTACAAGATTATTTCATTATGTGCCTTCTTTTAAAGTAGATTGCTATTTAATTATTTTACATTTGCAAACAAAACCCCCTTTGTGACCAAAGTACATTATGCAAAGAGATATAGACTTGTATCCAGTGTCTTTGTGGTTCAGCCCTGCTTGCTTTGTACTATTTTTTAGTGCATTAAAGCAATGTATTTGGAGTCTTTTGTGCCCTTATTATTTGTTAGGTTTAACACGCCTAACACTCATTTTTCATGTTGTTTGGAATATAGATGACTCATTGTTGGTTCCACGAGCAACGCCAATATTTCTTTGATGTTCATCCTGACTAACAAGATGATATGCTATGCCCAAACTGGGAATCGAATTGCTGCTAAAAATTTGGGTTTTCACAACATTAAACTCCTCATTAAGACCAATGAGGAAGTCATACAATCACTCTTTTTCTCTTAAATTAGTCATTTCCTAGTTGAGGTTGTACTTACATCCTTAGCAATTACAGGAAGGAATTTAACTAATGGACTGAATTTCGTCCCAAATACTTTTATGTTTTGAGTAATATGCAGAAACAATCATACCTTCCTGTCGCACATTGGTCATCATTCTTCTTAGTTCATACGCCCTATGAGCATTCTCCTTCCCAAACCTTTCTTTCTGATCAAGCCAAATGTTACGGGCAGTCACAACATATTTAACATTGCTCTTGATTTCTTTCTTCATAGAGCTGACCGACCATCCCCTAGCCATTGCATTGCATCTTCTCCAGTTGATGAGATCGATAGAGTCTTCTGTCGGCACAGGTAGTGTTCCATCAACAAACACAATCTTGTTCTTAGAAAAGAGTGTGTTTTTCAACTCACTCTCCCTATCGCCATAGTTTCAGTCATTTAACAGGTTTTCACCCACAAAAATTTGTCCTGGATGATCTGTAGATGTGAGAAAACAAGGAGACAAAATATCTAAGACAGATATCTCGCCTGAACTCGAGGGTTTATCGGCTTCCACCATGATTATAATCAGAAATTAGGTTTGAATGCCCATAGACTACTCTGATACCATAATAAATCTGATATCAAAATAACTTCTGTTTTTTCTTCTTAATCAATAAAATAAGGAGATTACACCAAGTATATATACTATCAGAATTAGAGATAGAAACAAACTTTAAATAAAAGGAAACACAAACAAGATAACTATAATCCTTAATAGATAAAAGAATTGATAAGGAAGCAATCCAAATAACCATCTGGAAGACAGATGGACGATTCTCAACACCTAGTTATTAGGCTATGCCAAACTTTCTGTTTCCTAGTTTTTAGGACACTAGTTGCTGATTATAAATATAGTCCTTACATAGTTTATTTAATTCATTCAAAAATATTTTCCCTTCTCCCTCTCCAAAATTGTAACCTTCTTCCTCCAACTGATTTTAATATATACAAGTCTAATACATTATGGTGTTTGCCAGCAAGGGTTTCCATCCAAATTGTTGTATTATAGTAATTATTTTATGGCATGTACCAATGCAAAATGATAGAGTTATTATCATTGTAACCCAACAAACTTTAGTATATTAGTTTAAATAGTCTCTCATGACTATTTCTTTTGCATTTGAAGGGCACAAACTTTTATTTTTAGGTTTTAAAATATCCTTTTGAAAAATCTGAAGGGTTCACCCTGTGAAACCCATCCTGATCAGCAGGTTTAGATGACAACTTAATTGCAACATGTAACACCTAATGTAATTGAAGCAATGTTGATGATACAGTCCGTGTATCATGGTTTTGAAGTGAGGAAATCTTAGCCGTTGATGAAATTAAGGCAAGTTGCTCAAGTTGGAAAATAGACGGTTGAGCTAAGAAATTGTATTCATGATCTATAGTCATCCATTGTGACAAGCAAAAATTGATTATCGGAGACACCATAATGGGTCTTCTCCTAAAGTTAGACACTAGGTACACCTTCATTTCTTCATACCTTCAATTGTAAAAAAATTTGTTGTTGGATTCATAATTTCGTTCTTTGATACGCAATTCATCAGGGTTTGCATCCGATTGTGAGAGATGTTAGGAAATCGTTGGCAAAAGAGCTTGTCGGTTTACAAGAGAAGCTAGATTCGTTAACATTTGTAAAATCTGAAACCCCAAGTGAAACTATAGAAGAATCTCAATAAGACGATGGTGGAAAAATCAGAAATATCGCTCTTGAGCCACAAGTGGAATCGCAAAATGAAGAAAAGATCGAGGAGCTTAACAACGATCACGAAATCGAAGCTGCAGACCCTATACACGATATGAAGCCGGAGCAACTGATCCTATACACGATATAAAGTCGAAGCAACTGGTTGAACAGATCTCTAGCAAGCTTAATAAAGACCATGTTCAACCTCAATATGGTAGTAACGATGAGGCTGTGAGGTTAGATCTAGATAACCATTAAGTCGAAGGAACATATTGTGTACACGATATGACGTCGGAGCAACTAGTTGTGTTTGAGGCGAATCCGTTGAGTTTTGTTGCAGAACAAGCCAACGGGAAAGGGTCGGACGGGAAGAACAAGATTTTGGTTGCAATGAGTTAAAGAGGATGAACAAAGAAGAGAATGTTCTAATATGGTGCCGGTATTTTAAGTGTTTGAGTAGATTTCGATTATGATTTTGTAATTTGTGAGGTGAACGGGATTCTAGTTGCAGACCATATACACAATATGACGCGGGAGCAATTGATCCTATACACTATATGAAGTCGGAGCAACTGGTTGAACAGATCTCTGGCAAGCTTAATAAAGACCATGTTCAAGCTCAATATGGTAGTAACGATGAGGTTGTGAGGTTAGATCTAGAGAACCATTAAGCCGAAGGTACATATTATGTACAAGATATGACGTCGGAGCAACTAGTTGTGTATGAGACGAATCCGCTGAGTTTTGTGGCAGAACAAGCCAACGGGAAAGGGTCGGACGGGAAGAACAGGATTCTGGTTGCAATGAGTTGAAGAGGATGAACAAAGAATAGAATGTTCTAATATGGTGCCGGTATTTTAAGTGTTTGTGTAGATTTCGGTTATGATTTTGTAATTTGTGAGGTGGAGTTTAGTTTAATTCTTATAACTTGTGAAAATAGTCACATCATCAAGGATATCGGTAATAACAAATCTTGGACCTTTTTTAACACATAAAAATAGATTTTACAACTACCAAAAAAAAATAGCGATGAACCATTTAAACCAATATACTAAAGTTTGTTGGGCTACGGTAACAATAACCCAAAATGGTCAGAGCTAGATAAATTAGAATAAAGCTTAGTATTTTGAATATAATAATTACTATACTCAGCAATATAAGATGAGATTGCATTAATGTCTGTCATACTTTCCCCTGGGTCGATCTCTTTTGGGCATGCAGGTCGATTTATGGATGTCCCATCGACTTATTTGCACTTGCATTAACTTATCTGACTATTTATAACTTGAAAGTCATGGCCTTTTTAGGAGGAGCATGGGAAAACATTGCTTTGTAGAAGAAAGAGTATAAAAGTACCTTTCTTGTTATTTTTATACTGACATTGTTTTGCACTTCCAAGTTCGTTCATTTAATTTTTCTAAAAAATGTTGTATACGATCTATGGGCCTATGGGCATGGCACCTAGTCATCAGACAAAACCCAATTAATGACTTCTAGTCAAAATCAGAACACAAAACCCAGCCCATTATTCGTTTCCTGAACAAAACAAATACACAATTACTTATACAAACGTGTTAGTAATCAAACAAATAAATATACATCGTTAGAAAGGAAGAATAAGATATATAAATTATCTCTATTGAAAATATGTAAATTTTTTTAACAAATTATTTAACAATATTTAGTAGTTTACCACATACATACATTAAAGTCAGCACCCGGAATAACAACTGAGAATGTTGTAACCTTTTTGTCCGTGGCTTCAATCAAAATTTTGTAATTTAACTTTCTTTAAATTGAAAACCAGAAACTTTTAGAGAATATTAGGATTGAAGTGTAGGATAGAATGGTTAAATGGCCATACAACAAACAACTGCAGGATATAACACCCCACCAAAGAAACAGTAGTAAAGCTTACATGTTCAAAATCCAAGAAAGATCCTTAAGGATTTTACCATGCATGGTGGATTCCTTTATCTGTTCACTTGTTAGAATACTTATACCTTCCGATCTTTATTTACTATTCAACTTTTTGGCTTTTGGAGAGACGTCAAAATGGACCTTGGACCTTGGTTTAATATTTTTTCGTAATTTGATTCCTATAATTTATTTGATAGAGTCTAAGGTTGAGTAAAACATCAAGATATGAAAAGCAAATAAAAAGGATTTCTAGTAGCTTATACAATAATTAAAGCAAAGTTTTAGTAACATCACATTAGTTTAGATTTGTGTTTGTTTATTTTAGCTTTTAAGCTTAAACATCGTAGAACGCTCGTACATTTATATAAGAGTAAATTGCAAATTTGGACATTGTGTTTTATTCAAAATATAAGTTTAGTCCAAAATTTAAAATTGTTTCAATGTCAATCCTCACATTTGCATTTAACTGCAGATATGGTCTATGCATTTTTACTGAAAAATGGAATATGGGTCGGGGATCATATCCGTAACAATATGCAAACTTAAGGACATCATTGGTACAATTTGGAAATTATGATTGAACTTTCGAATTTGGATAAAGCATAAAGACAAAATCTGTAACTTAAACTTTACATAAAATTTTCATAGAAAATAAAAATGAGAACATTAATTTCTTTTAGACAAGAGAAGTATATGCTACGGAAAAATCATCAAGAAAAAACGTAGATATCAAAATGTGAGAAGCAAATTATAGAACATCACTAGTTTTTTGCTTCCGTTTTAAACAAAGCTAAGGTTTAGACATGGTATAACATGCATTCCCATCATTTTGAAAAAGCTTTTTCAAGTTTTTGGTTTTTGCGAGGAAAATTCAATCTTACTCTCTAAAAGATAGTAAGATCATAAATAGTTATAAAAGTCTACATGGATGTATATTTTTAGAGAATAAAAAATCATGAATTTTGGTATATTTAAAATACTTTTTTGATAAAAATAGCTTCTTAAAAATTAATAAAAACGAAAAAAAAATTATGTTTTTGTATATATTAAGTTAATTATTAGAATAGTTTAAGGAAACATATTTGGTGGAAAACACGTGTCTATTAATTTCTCATTTTCGCTGATACAACGGAGACTTTTGTGGCAAAAATAAATGAGTGGCTGAGAATGATTCCTTTATTCTCGACATTTTTTATTTTCTCAATTTAACTATTATATATATATATATATATATATATATATATATATATATATATATATATATATATATATATATATATATATATATATGGCTATTATGATATTAACAATTCAATTTACATGGTTTGATTTCTTTATTTTTCAAATTTTCAATGTTGATTGTTTATTTCTTTATATACTTTTTAAACGACTTTAGATTTTTCTTTTATATATATTGTTGATTAAGGAAGTCATATATAGCTATGAAAGACAAATGGGTAGCAAGCTGCGTTGGTAGGCCTTTCTGAATGGTAAAACTAATTCTTTTGAATACAACATCCGTACACAGGTTGATTTCTTTAGTTTTTACCAGGGTAAATTATACGAATCGGTCCCTCGTACGAATGGAAAAAAAAAAAAAAGTTCAGTCCCTATTTTCGAAATTAAGTCGGACCATCCCTTATTATTTTAAAACTTGTACATTTCGTCCATTTGTTAGTTTAAATTTGCACGTTGTACCATTTGTTAACCATAAAATGACTATATTGCTATTAATACTTTATTTTTAATTTAATTAAAAAAAGAAAATACCATACCCTACGCTCCACACCACTCCTGCACACCACTCCGTGGGTGAGGGAAAGAACCGCGGGAAAAGAGGTGGGGGGGGGGGGGGGTGCCGCACTCTCTGTCCTCATGCTATTGGCCAGTTTATTTTTTATTTTTTATTTTTTATTTTTTATTTTATTTTTTTTTTCTTTTTTAATATTTATAAAATTATATATCTACTATAAAAATATAAAAAAATATATCAAAATTCATGATTTTTAATTCCCTACAAAATGAGTATAATATATATAGGAAATATATTAAAATAAAATAAAATAAAATAAAAAAGGGGGGGGGGGAGGGGGGGGGGGGGGAGGGCTTCCCACCCATTACTTGGCTAGGTGAGGGAAATGAAAGTGATGAAAAGAGGGGTATGACCCACTAAAAATGAAGGAAGCTTCCCTCCGACACCCTCCGGTCTAAGAGAGGAAAACATGGGAAGAATGGTGGATACCTTTAATTGATAGTGTGCTGGTAATTGGTGATGTTGTTTTGATGCATTCATGGATAATTTTGGTAATTATTAATGTTATTTAGGTAGATTTCAATTTCAAAAGATTTATATTATATAATGATTGTGCTAAATATTATGATTAACTTTAATAATGTTGGGCATTGATTAATATTATCTTTAACATCATTTTCATACATATGTTTATATTAAGATAATTTTCATTTAGGAGTGAGCAAAAACCGAATCAAAAACCAAGAAACCGCAAAACAATCAAAAAGCCTTTTACCAAAAGCCTAAAGCGAACATAAAACCCATGGTGTGATTTTAAATTAAAAACAAAAACAAAAAAATACAAACCGCAGATTGTGGTGCAGTTCGGTCCTAATCTATATAACCGCACCATAAAAACCAAAATGGCTGCACCTAAGATGTTTTTGTTTAATGTTTAGGAATTACAATGTTCAAGTTAGACATGGTGGGAATTTATCAATGTTATCATCTTATGAAATTTATTGTTTAATATTTGATGTGTATATTATTGTTATTTACTTATTTAACTGTTATATATATTGGTTGAATGAAATGAAGCAAATATAACAATCTAAAACACAACTTGCAAAAATAAAATGCATCAAAATGTTTGATTATTTGCAACAAAAATCTAAAAAATGAATGAAAGTCAATAAAAAGCGAAACTAGTTTCTAACTCGTAGCAATAGTCCAAAAAAATATATTTTCGTGGCTTTGGTCCTTTTAATTTTATTTATTTATTTATTTATTTTAATACCCATTTTATATTTAAAAAAATACTCGTCCCATCCCCACCAACCGGTACCCCTCTCTCTCTCTCTCTAACGTCTTCATTTCCACACAATACACACATACACACACAGTCGATGAGGAACACACACCATAATCGATTCGCATGTGTGTGTGTGTGTGTTCATCTCGTTCATCCAAAAGAAGCTCTTAAAAATCGATAGTTGGCAGCCCAAACAAAACCCATAAATTGATTTGCAGGTTTGTGTTAGTCCTGTTCAACCATGAATCGATAAACGAAATCAATTTATGGGCTTCATCTTCTCCACCCCTTTCCTCTTGCCGGTAGATCGACTTCCACCTATACTCACAAACTCGGATAGCCAGGGGAGAAAGCTTCTTTCTCTGTTTTCGCCATTAGAGCTTTTCCTCCAACACCTTCATATTTACAGCGTGTAACAAAGACTTACTCTGTCTTTTTAAAGAAATACTTCTTTAGCAGTTCCAGATGATTACACCTTAATGTTTACCATTACAGCTTATTCACACCATCAGATATTGTTGGGTTTTGCTCAAAACTTTCATACAATGGTAATTAAACTTGGGTGTGGTACAAATGTTTGTGTAATATGAATGTTGTATATTCAAGAACTGATTATGCCCATAAAGTGTTCGATGAAATGTCGCAACGAGATACAATTACCTGGACGAGTTTGGTCAAAGGGTATGCAACTGTTTGCGAAAATGCGTGAAAGAAAATTCAAGAAGGGATCTTGATTTTCAACATGGAGTGATTATGCCCAAAACTTGAACATTTTGGATGCTTAATAGACCTTTTAAGTCGCATTGGTGAACTTTAAGATGCATTCCGGACGACTCCCATGTCTTCTCCGACGGACTCGATGCATCAG